TTTTGATTGCTGTACTTCAATACTTTCATAGCTGGACCTTGGTGGTCAGCCTCAGGAGGAGGAAGTGGCCAAATAAAGGAATAGAACTTCATGGCTAGCTTTAGAAGTGAAATCTAACAGTTTTGAGCAAGGCAGAGGGAATGGGAGAGAAACGCAAGGACTGCCAGAGCCATGTTTGCCATATCTGGACCACCTAGAGACCCTTCAAAGGGACCACAAAAGCTCACTGAGGACTTCTCCTTAAAATCCTGACTTAGGGTGGAACAGCCCACTGTCCAGTGCTGGGTCACCTCTAAAATGAAGCGTGCTTTAATTAAACAGTCAAGGATTTGCTCATTCTCCTTTCAGATTGCAGGTATAATGTCAACATTCAGTCATGCACATTTTAAAAAATAGTTTTTCTTTCAACTTTAAAATATTTTATGATTCATATTTTCCTAGTTTAAGAAGTTAGAATTGACAGGTAAAAAGTATGTGCTTACTATATATAGTGTGATGGTGTACTATATGGATATAGTGCCTAATGATCAGATCCATGTGATTCATTGCCACACATACTATTCTTTTTATATGTAGTGAGTCAGGCCCATAAGAAACCCTGGACAAATAGCTATATGAGGTGCCTATTAACAAAGGAAAATGCATGCCAGCCTCCAGGCTCTCTCAATATCACAACTTCCTGTGGCTCTTCTTACCTCGCCTCTCCCCTAAGCACTACAGCTCTGGGATTCCCTGCCCCCAGCTTCTCATTTCTATACAACCTATCAGTTAAGCCACGAGATCTCTGGGTCCTATTTTTGCCTTCATGTCTTGGTCCTCCCCTCTTGCCCCAGTTTAGTCTGCTGCCCATGCTTAGTCTAATAGTTTCTCTCTGTACTCTGGACACTTCTAGATGCTTCTGGCTATTCTTTTTTCTCATATCTATAATAAAAAACATTCCCCCAATTATACCTTAGTATGGTCATGTCCTCAGTTTATACAGTGAGAACATTTAAAATCTTCATAGAAATGTTTACTCAGAAACACTTCATACAGAGAGAGGCCTTGTGTAGGGCACATGAGCCGGTCAAAGATGGTGCTGAGGGGAAATCAAGGGGGCAAGTCCTGAGTTGTTTACAAAAAATGATGATTGGTTGCCTAGATTGATCCAGATGAGGTCACTTCATGAACAGCTCCAGATCACTAGGTAAGGCATAAGGCCACATAGGTGTGTGATAGACTGACTTTTAAAATATTGGCTGACTGTTTTTCTCACTCTGCAATTTTTTTTTCTTTCAAATGATGCCTACTATGGGACAATAAATGAGTTCCTGCTTGACTAGACTTCCTGCTGTTTCTGATTGTTTCCACTGTGAGTGACATTGATGAGTGACTGAGTTTTCTTCCTGAGGTGATATAGCCAGCTCACTATGACTGTGACCTACTCTGCAGGCTATGGGCCAGTGACATCTGAGGGAAGAACAGCTGAAGCAATCCAGAATCCAGACTCTGGTGTAAGTGTGGCCTTTTGGCTTCTGCATCTTCTTTGCCAGGCACCATCCTTATCACCAACTCACTAACCTCTTTGGAGTTCACAGTTCAGTATTAATAGTACAAAGAGAGGAAATATAGGTAGCTGAGCTGATAAGAAACCTGTGAAATGTACAGCCTTGGACTATGACTTCAAACCCATGGAGAAGATGTAACAAGAAGTGTGATGGGAGTGGGTTGTCTCAGGAACTCCCTCAGGGTGGGAAGGCTGGCTTCCTTCCACTGTAATATGAAGCTTCTCTGGGTATGTTTGGGAACAGTTCCCATCAATCTGCTCCAGGAGCTGAGGTTTTAATTGTTTTAAATTTACTTTTACTATGAATGAAAAAAAAAAAAAGCATAGGTACAACAAAAAGCAAAAGCAGAGAAGTGGAATTTTATGAAGGTAAAGTGTTCCTACCCAGAAGAGGATGCAGTCAACACGGACTGAAGGAACACTCTATGTGATGATAGGAAATCCTTATAAAGTGCAAATCTGTGAAGGGATTGGTGCTCCTAACATATAAAGAGCTCAAATACCTCAATGCAAAGGAGAAAGTTTCCCTTAAGAAATGGGTCCAGACATGTGGTACAAAATACAGGAACACCAAGATTGCCAATGTGAAGGGAAATCCCAGACAAATCACTGTGAGATGCCAGCTCAGGCCTGCAAGTATGATTATCATGTAGAGAAAATACAGCAGGTATCAACAAGAACATTCAAAAGAGAGAACTTGAGCATATTATCAGTGGGAAAGCAACTAATTCAGACCAGAAAATAATGGGGGTCCTCAAAAATTTAAAAATAAAATGTTACGTTGGGTCTACTCCAGGACATGTCCACTTCTCTACTCTGTCCCACTGCTATAGAGAAATGACAGGCACCTTTCGAATACAGTTTGCCTGTGACTGTAATTCTCATGTCCCTAAAGGAGGTTTTCCCAAAGTGATCAGGAACCTTGAATGGCTCATCTACTATGATAGATACACAATAAACAAAAGGCTGAAACTCTGTCCCTCCTACCACCACTCAGGAGCCAGAAGAAAAGCTGACTGCTGGTGCATAGTGTTGTCAACTACTTGTCCTGAACTTCCCCTTCTCTCCAAAGTCTATAAGAATAGATCCTTGCTTTGTCTCAGGGGCCTGAACTCCCTTTGGAGACCATCCTGTCTGCCCATGTATTAGTATTTCCCCTAATAAACCTCTTATTCAAAACTAAGAGCCAACCTAGGGCCCCTCCTCAACCCTGGGGCTCTGACACTTACAAGAAGTCCACATAGGATCGTGCTGATGAGAGCAGGGCATAGAAATTGATGAGGCAGCTTAGGATAGAGGACCCGAAAATTAATAGTACCCATCCTTGGCTAAAAGTTGCAAATGCCCTTGGCCCTGTCAGCAGCTTCATCCCTGCCAGTAACAAGAGATGCCAAAAGTGTTTAACCCCTAGGCAGAAACCAGGGATGCCAGGAAGGTCGGGGGAGGAGAAACTGGTTTTTCTTCTCTTCCCCTAAATGAATTCCTATTCCTGAAATCAACACATGAAGACCTGACTGGAACTCAGATGTATATAGACACTATGGGTGGGAACTGGACTGCCATCTGCTCCATGTCTTCATCCAGTAAAGCCTTGCTAACTCCAATGTGACTCCCAATGGTGCCAATTCCCTAGGGACATGCTCCAGTTGTGCCCGAATTTGTCTTCTCTTAAAACTCCTACCTATAAAGCTATAATAAAACTGATTCTTCTGCTGTCTATCAATTCATTCTTTGAATTTATGCAAGTGAAGTATCTAGAGGCCACTGACTCCTTGGAAGTTTCATGTGGCTGTGAGCTTCCTGCATCCTAACTCAAGTTAAAGCCTAACTGAGATGAGAGAAAAGACCTCTCCCTTAAACTCAGGGATGCCCCATATTTATTTCAGCTTTAGTCACAGAGACTACATCATCTGTCAGTCTCAATGTCCCACAGGGGAGGGAATGAAGAAAAGCTGGTATGTGCCTAAGATATCAGACGAGAGGGTTCAAGAAGACACTGAGAAGGATTGTTGGAGATAAGTAGTTTTCAGAAGAGTTATTAATGCCATACAGGAAGACATACAGAGAGACAGACAGACAGACAGACATTGATAGACACTCATCAATGTCACTCATCAGTGGAGAATAGAGCATGGCCCCCCAATGGATGGAAAGCACTCATCTTTGTGCCAACTTCCTGATCCCAGGGCAAGGTCTCAGCAAAATCTCCATGGTGGCAGCTATTCAGATATGTGCTAGTCTTTGGTTACTGTGGGGAAGCTGGCAGACCATGCTCAGAACAGCCTTCTAGTGTCTAAGAGGAGTGTTCAAAATACTTGGGGTGACAATAGGCAATCCCTCTCCTTGAAGTGTATCACACACACAAATTTGTCTTCTGATTAGTCCCACGAGCTCCCTTGACAGGATTTCATTCTCTCCTCATTCTCAGACCAGAAACAATATTCTGCTGCATGTCCCCATTAAAAACACTTCTTGGCGATAGAAGGACCATCCTCCTGTCAGCCTTCCACCTGGGAGCAGTCCGTGGAGAAGCCCACTGCCTGTTCTCCAGGGTTCTGGCAAGGTACTCTCCTCTTCACATAACTCAGTTCCTCAGAGCAGTCAGGTCAGTGGGGACATCACCAGTGCTCTGCCATGTTTATTTGGACACTTCCCCATGTTATGAAGGACCTGTCTCTGTCACTTCACACAGGGACCTTACAGTTTTCCATCGTTGATGGGCTCTTCTTTTTTGACCATATCAGTTTGTTGGGCGAGAATCCTGTTGAATTGAGCTTCCTGTATTCCTCACTTGCCTGTGTTGGTCTGGAGCATGTCCTGTCTTTCTAAGCCATGAAGGGAGCACTTCATCTGTTATCTCCAGCAGAGCTGAATAATCTTTTTCCTTTAACAACACCTACCCACTGCTACCTCTCAGCTCCCAGACTACAAAGTGCAAAGAAGGCCTGACCCAGCCCTTAGGTTGTGTGCGGATCACACCTCCTGAAGATAGCACACAGTTTTATCACTCTCTCCTTGAGAGACCAGACAGCACTTCATGTTGAATGTTTGCTTCCCAACATGGTTCTGGAATGTTCTATGGGTACATGCAGGTTGTTCTCCAGATGAATGGTAGATTACAGCAGAGGTCCAGCTGTGCAGGGATGACAGTCCCCCCCTCCCCACTCCATACATACACACAAGATATGCTATGGTGTCATCCTGTGACCTGAAAGCCTCAGAAAGCAGAGAAGGCTCTTGCTACTGGGAGTCCCAAGGAGGCCTGAGATAGGACCTTCTACTCTGTTGTCTGTACTTTTATTCTGGAGCAAACTGAACAAGAACAGGGGAGGGCTCTGCTCTGTCAGACTCACAGGGCTTCAGGGAAAATATGAAATATGTCCAGGTTTGTGTCAAGTTGACCAAAAAAAAAAAAAAGAAAGAAAGAAAGAAAAGAAAAGCCGGCACATTTGGGTTAACTGTTTTTAATCAAATTAAGAAAGACCAATAATGTGTGTAATCTGAGAGTTATGAGCTGAACAAAAACCCTTTTCTCCCCAAGTTGTTAGAAACCATGACTAAGACAGGACCCTCTTGGGCAAACACCAAAAAGTGTATAGAACTGTGTCTCAGTAGCACCATACTTCCAGAGTTCTCTCCACTATCATATACATACATGTATAGATGTGCACACACATGCACATACATATGTTTACTCTAGTGGTTTCACAAATTTCTTTCCAATATAAATAAATTTCCTTCCCTACCTTTCTTTCTTTTTCACCTTTCTTTATTCTTTCCTTCCGTTTTAAATATATTTAATTAGTTATTTGATTTGCCTTATTGCTCTGACTAGGACTTCTAGTACTATATATTAAGGAGAAGAGGGAAAATGTTGAAATTGTCATCTCTGTATATTTCCTGATATTACAAAACTGGATATATGTTTTCACATAAAGAACAGAGAAGTAATCCTCAGCTTTTATTTGTTCTGTCAGCCATCCAAGTATGCTGATGGGTCCCTGTGCATTGGATTGTGAGATTGCCAGTCCTTGGGTGATCAAAGCAAGACTTTCAGCAGGAGCAGAACAATGGGAAATGATGACATTAATTTGAGGGTAGGGTTTCCATTGTTTGAAACAGGCGAGGTGCATGAGGTTTTGATTTGTATGCCATTGAGGACATTCTGTTGCATATTGCAGGCATTTTCGGTTGCACAGCCCTTCCCATACAGCAGTAAAGAAGAAAGTCCTATTGTGCAAAGAAAGATCCAGGAGTTAATATTCTCATTTCCCTCTCATTTCTCCTCATTACCCTTTGCTCTGTGTGGAAAGCACCTTTTAAGGCAAACCTTCCCCAATTCATTCCAGCAGCTGACAGAGTAGCCTTCTGTAAGACCCACTCACGTTGAATCAGGATTGGTCGATGGGTCAACAAGATACAGGTGGATAAGAGGGACAAGATATGACTCTTGAGAGGGGTCTATAGCAATAGGTGTTAAGAAAGGATGACATACAGACACAAGAGTCATGACAGGCTATGCAGTGAGTTTCTTTTTCCAGTTTTGATTCTGTCCTAGATTTGTTGTTGTTGTTTTTTTTTTGTTTGTTTGCTTGCTCAGTGTGTGTGTGTGTGTGTGTGTGTGTGACAGTGTAAGTGCATACAGCTATAGTTGATGGTGAAAGTGTAAAATTCAGTCTAAGTCCCCACAGATTCAGAATGACTCCTGTAACTGTATAGATGGAAGTTCATTGAGATGTGTAATCTTTCGATCTGGCTAATCTCACTTCATGATGTTTTTCATTTGTAAGTTCTTTACAATTTAAGTTTTAATTTAAAAGATTAAAAAACAACATATAGGAGCAGAAATGGCATGCCACTTCTGAGATTAGACTACTAAAATCTACAGGTCCTTTTTCACTTGGTGCCTTTTCATTTCATCATTAGCTTGGAGGGAAGTCAGCTGATATGTCATGAGGCCACTGCATAAAGAGGAATTGACACCACCCAAATTGTGAGTAAACTAGAAAGCAGATCCTCCATTTGAAGGAACACAATCCAGGCTGACAACTGATACAGTCCCAGGAGACACCCTGAGCATCTGAAGGACCATAGCCTGCTGACAACTCACAGAGCCCAGGAAGACACTTTGAGCCAGAACCAGAAACAGTACAGGGCTCAGATTCTAGATAGACCTGCAGAACCTGGGATGTAATGAATGCTTGCTATTTTCAGGGGCTAAGCTCCAGGTATACAGAAGTAAACAGTGGTGCACTATACCCTTCAAGTGTACCAATCATTTTCTTGAAGAAGAAGAAGGAGGAGGAGGAGGAGAAGAAGCAAGGGTATGAACATAAAAATGTTAGAGGACGTACTCATACCTGCGAGGGTGCTGCCACTAAACTCAATGCACTTAGTTTCTTTCCCTGTGCACTTTATGGTGGTAACTGAAGAGCACGACAGGGATTTCTCATTGTAGCAGGCAGGACATTCAACACCATTGGCTTGGGAAGATGGAGATGCTGAATTGAGAGACAAAAGTTTTCACCTTGGGGAACAGGCAGAACAGCCAAGAATACACCTATCTACTAATCATCTAATATAGTATTTCCCCCCATGATCCTACCAAAACGCATTGTGGTAGAAGGAGGCCCAGGAGAAAGAGACTGGTATGTAAGTGCACTGAAGGGTGTCATAGAAACCTAGTGCTGTCCTCATCTTTGTCAGTTACTCTGTCCTCTGCCCTGAATAAAAAGTTCTAGGTAATGAAAAAACAGATCATCTGGTTTCTAAACAAACGCTGTTCATAAGGTAAGAAATGAGCCAGGTGTGGTCATGCACTCTTATACTCCCAGATGCTCCAACCTTGGAGGGTGAGGCAAGATGTTTACCTGATCCCAGTGATACAAGCCTGGATACATGCAAGACACCATCTCAACAATACAAAAATCCAAGATAAGGATAAGAAATCCAAGATAAGGTGAAGAAATTCTCTCGACTGGAGGAGCAGAGAGCAAAGCACTTAAACCTATATATCAATGAACCTCTTTAAAGAATAGGCCCAGAACCAATTACTGTTGCCCAGGTGCCACTAAGTCTGTGTATGCAAGTGTGTATACACATACCTAAGAGAAAGACATGCATCCAAACCAGACCCTTACAAATGGAAGCTTCAAGCAAAAAAGGGAATACAAGTATCAGGGCTGCAACCCATCAACAGAGGACCTATGGAAAGGCAGAGGACCCCTGAGCAGGTGCTGGGCACAGATACAAGCTGTACTCACATGTTATGTCATCTTTGTTGCACTGATCAGTTTTGCAGCAACGGTTTTCAAAAGTAAATCTCCTTTGATCCCCCAGAGTTGCTGAGAATGAGTGATTACTACATGAGCTGGATTCTTTGGTACATCCTTTTTGCTTAAACACGTGGTCTGTAAACAGAGCTGCAGAAAATTGAACCACTAAGTATATTTTCCTCCTTAACTCATGGTAAATAACCTTTCCTTCATCCCTTCTGCCTTGAGTACTGCACTTTTCCAAGAGTCCCTCTGCAACAGACTGTTTCAAAGAATGAACCAACAGAGGGACCATTTGCTACAAAGGGAGTAACTGGTGGTAGAGTACTTGCTTGGCATGAGTGATGCCCAGAGTTTAATCCCCGAAACTGTAAAAGCAAGAATGGAGTGACACCTGAATGAGCCTCATCATGTAGAATCCATGTCCTACAACAAACACATGCTCCATCTACACCACACCACAGAACCCCAGACCGCCCAGTCTCATCCTGGAAAGGAATCAAGGATAAACCAGAGGACTCTCAAGGTGTGAGAGTTGGCTTACATGGTGTATCAAATTTCTGTATTTGGTTGAAGCAGCCATTAGTGGCTGTACAAACATTTGTATTCCCAGGACATGATGTACTTTGACATTCTTGTACTGTACACTGGTAACACTCTGCAAGGAAGAAATGTACATAATTTAAAAGGTAATCCCAGAGACGTGTAGTTGATGTTTCTTAACAGTCAAGCCATGAGGGGCTAGACAGACCACTGGAGTCCCATGTGGTTGGTTATCTCCCCAAGGCTCTTGACTGCTCACCTCCCACCCCCCCTTTAGGAGAAAGGAATGCCTTGTTTACTCTTACCCACAGAGCCCACAGCTAAGATGGTAACACCAAAGACTGTGAGGAGGTTCTTCAGGCTGTAGGACCAGGCCATGGTGACTTCTGAGAACACTGAATGAGATGCAAGAGATGACAATGGGACAGAACTATGGGGCTCAGACCTGTAATCCAGCCACCAACACTCTAGACTGTTGTTTGTCCATGCGTTCATTCACTCATTCTTTCTGAAAGCCGAACTTTATCGAACACTGCCTTGATGCTAGATGTGGTCATTTGGAAGGATGCAAAACTGGAAAAGACACCACATCCTTTATCAAGGCATGGGGGCTACTGAGAGGGTCTTCCTTCCCAGAGAAGGATTTCACCCAGGAGGGATTCTTCTTGCATGGGTCTGGAGGGCATAGGTCTCCTTCCACAGTTGAAATGGCTAAATCAAGAAACCACTCCTCTGGGGAGCAGGTGGAGGCTCTCTATGTACTAGAAAGTTCTGGGCCATGGTTCTTAAGAGCAATCAGCCCGTTAGTTAAGGAATCATCACTTCCACAGCCACCTTCCCCCTAACAGCTGTCCACCATCACCAGTATCACAGCCCACACTGGAAACACTCACCAAGGAGTAGTCTTGCTCTTCTGAAAGGTCTGCCTTGAGATGGAGAGGAAGGCCAGTGATCTCACCAGAGAGAGGAAGAAAGAAACACTACTTTCTCTGCTCTCACTGTCACTGACTCTTATAGCCCAGAGGACTATTGCCTGGCAATTAAGCTACTGCAGATAGTATTTTGACATGAAGCCAAGTGCACTGAGCTTACTGATTTTCTAGAAAACGAAAGTGATACCATGAGAACAAGTATTCTCGAACTTCCAGTTGGTAGGGCCTTGGGGGACAGTAGTGGAGGTATAATGCCTCTGTGCTGGAGGCAAGCTACAGCAAGTTTGGAGTATGTAATAACCATCCTCGCCTTTCCTAGTGTTCCCTCTTCCAATCATTCATTTCTTCCTAGAGTCAGACCCTGGAATTCATATACTTCTCTGCCTAGAAGGAACTGGGTATGCTTCTCTACAATTTTACGTTTCCCATCTATTTTCATGCCAGCCTCTTGCTAGGGCATAGCTCACCAGCCTTCTTATTTGCAACGGAGACATGAGTTTAGCTAGGGAAATCACTATTCCTCTAGTCTCTTCTAATCATCCAGAACTTGGGCATGTTCTCTTGAAATTCAGGTGCCAGGGACAGAGAGAATCCCCCCACCACTCCCAACCCTTTCAGAAATCAGTATGCAGAGTTTTGAAGAAGGTGCGAGTCACAGGGAAGGAATGGGATGTCTATATGCCCCAGAGGCTGGAGTGTGGAAGGGATGAGAAAGGATACCCTATCTGTCATAGAGATGAAGGAGTGAGCAAGGACACCTGACCGTATCACAGGTAAAGGGATGAGGAAGGATACCCTGATGGTCACAGAGATTAGCAGAAACTTGCCTGGAATTTCTGCACAGGCCTAAAATTGTGGGGGATGCATTCTTAGTGTTCAAAGTAAGTTGAGAAAATATTTCAGGGGAAACAGAAACATGAGCTGGGAGAGACTTGCCACAGTCTCAAGGCATGCCAAGTAAAGACATCATGGGTTCCTTGATGAAGTCTACTTCAGTTCCTGGCTAGAAATTGAACCATTGCTCAAGATTATGGGATGGCAGCTAAGACATGCTCTATATTCTTCCCCAAAATATAACCAAGGCCTTTTTCTGTGGGTGCCCATAAAGATGGCTGCACTCCATCTTGGCACATAGAGTTCAAAGCTGTCAGCAAGCCACAAGACCTAAAGGTCAAAGGTGTGGCTTCAGAAGGATGTTTTGGCAGTCTTAGTCTAAATAACAACAGACCTGAATCTGAGGTATGGCTACTCCTGACTGTCAAGGCTAAGGAAGGAGAAGCTGAATCTGAGGTGTGGCTACTCCTGACCTTAAAACTAGGGAACAAGAAGTTAGAACTAAAGTTTGGTTACTGAACCCTTAGAATAATTGAGGATGAAAAGTCTATTTGTTCTGTATACATGATACTGTGTTCCCCTGTTTGCCACCTAAGAGTAGCAAAAAATAAACTCTTGGCATTTCAGTATTGACTGATCTGCCCTCCTGACCTTTATTCAGTCTCTTTGTCTTTCTTTATTGTCTACAGCTAGCCTTTCCCTCATCCACATTCCCCCACTCAGGTACGGACCTGGGGCCACTCAACTGGCTCCAATTGCAGCCCCGCAAAGACCACTCGCCGGCATATGGCGCCCGAACTTGGGGCTGAAAACAAGGAACAGAAATGATGGGTGACGTATGTCAGAAATAAAATTGTATATAATTGTAGATGTGAAACAGAAATATCAGACAGATGGTAAAGAAGGGATTTAGTTAACCTTGAGAATAAAAATGTATACAATTAGAGATATGAGACAGGGAAATATTAGTCAGATGATTGTATATTTACTTGAGTATATTTTAATAGCCAGGATATCTGGAGTAAAGCAGGAGAAAGTACAGAAATGTTTATAATTTGAAAGTTTTGTGAGAATCCTTCCCCCTCACAGAAGCTGCCACCGCAGCTGTCTCAGACCTGCACCGGGAATTGGGGAAGCAAAGATGTGGCCCCATATACACACTAGGTCAGCAGGACCTATGGGTGTCAAAAACTCAGAGTTGCTACTGAAAGGATAAAAATACAGCCTAACTCTCTAATGACCACTAAAAGTTAAAAATTTTAAAAATCCACCAACATGTATTTAAAAATCACCCTAGTTACATACAAAGCTCAGGAAAAAGAAAACACATGAAATAGCTTGGTCACAATGCCTGGTTTCTGGAAATTATTATTATTATTCATAACCACCTAGTTTCTGAGGAATGCTGTTATCCACAACAACAGTCTGGGAATTGTTATGGGTCATCCTGTCCATAAAAAAAATTAATAACTAAAAAATACAGGACTCATGGCAAGAAGGAAAAACTAGAAAGAACAGGTGCTTCTGCCAATAGATATAGATAACTCCCTGACTGGAGGGTACATTCTTCCTTCCCCCATTATTTTAAGTTCAAGGCCACTGAGCCCACTGGTCCTAGAGGAAAAAACAAACAAACAAACAAACAAACAAACAAAAAAAAAAAAAAAAAACCCTAACCTTGCAGGTGCACTAAACAGGTGCCTTGAAAAATTTTTTTACTCTATACAATCTCTGAATCTCTGTAACCTAGGAAACCTTATTAACCATCCAAGTTTTAAACCTTGCTTTTAGGCCTAGTGAAAATAACAGGCTAGCTTTAAAACTGGCCTTGTTAGCTTTGCTGTAAATCCTATAAAAGCTATCTCAATTCTGCCCTCAGGGTCCTCAGTCCTCTACCCCTGCTTAGTGTAGGACTGTAGACCCCAGTGCACTTGGAATTAAAAGTCCTCATGCTTTTATATCAAGACCACTTCTCATGAATGAATGTCACCTCTCCTGTGTGGGAGCATGAAGGTCCACGCTCTGCAAGTCTTTCACTATAATGGTGGTTGCTTACTTTTTAAACAGCTGCTTTTCAAAGGGTTAATCTGAATCTTGTCTTCCTAAGAAGGAATCCTTGTGACTTTTCATAATGTGGCCCCAATCCCACACACTCCCATCCTATCACACTTGTCCTTACACCCTCTCCCAGGGTCAAAGTCATAGCCGAAGACTGTATTTTATGGTTCCTTATTGATTCAGTTTAATAAACCTCTTTGTGTAACTAGTAGTTAATTTTGAGTTACCAATTAACTGAGGGGACTGGAGATAAGGATGGTTACTGAATATAGGCTATGAACCAAGAGACCAGAATTCTAAGGTATGGCCACGTCTGAGTTCCATGCTGGCCTGGACACTGCTGAGTAGGACAGCAGCAAACGAGGCCACTATCATTCATCCATGGAGAATGGAGAATGGCCCTTATCTACCAAACAACTCTGACAACTTTCTGTTCCCAAGGCAAGGTCTCAGAGGGATTTCTTGCATATGACAGAGCTTCTTGGATGGATACTGCAGGGTCAAAGGAGGGAAAGAACATCCTGACCTGACGCTGGCTTGACCCCAAGACCAGAGCCAAGGAAAAGGATACCACCAATTTCCAAGCTTCCCTCAGGATCAGGCCGCAGAATCCCACCAATCCCAGGCCACCCGGGAAAGTTCTACCTCCCAAGAAACTCTTATATAAAGCTTCTGTTCAGATCCCCCTGTGTCTTGCCCCAGCAGAGGCAGCCACCCTTTTGTGTCTTTCCCAGTAAATCTCTTGTGTGAGGTCTGTTGTGTAGCATGACTTTGTGGAATTCCTTGGCTCCTGACTGCCTGGATACCTTTCCATCTGAGCTGTTACAGATACCCTCTTGGGCTCAAAGAAGAGTAGAGATGGTGTGTAGAAAGAAAAATAACAAAAAAACAAAACAAACAAACAAACAAAAAAGGCAGGGCCAGGCGGTTGTGACACAAGTCTTTAATCCCAGCAATCAAGAGGCAGAGGCAAGCAATCCCGGTGAGTTCGAGGCCAGCCTGATCTATAGAGGGATTTCTAGGACAGGTTTTCAAAGCTACACAGAGAAACCCTGTCTAGAAAAAGCAAAAAGAAAAGAAAAAAAAAACAAGCAAACAAAACAAAACCTAGCCTAGAGGCTTCTTCCCTTTTGATGCATATCACATACACATTTAGCTTCAGATAGGCTCCTACCGGCCCTATCAAGAGCTCTCAGTTCTGTCATTCTTGGGACCAGAAGTGGCATTCTTCCTGATATCCCAGATAAAGACACTTCTCAGGAGAGAGCAGCTGTCCTCCCTGTGGTCTGGCTCCCACGAGCAGTCCTGAGAGGGACTCAAGCTGCTTGGTCTTCAGGTGACTGTGCTGTTCTTGGTCAGACAACGCTGGCTCCCGCGAGCGCTCTTCTCATTGAGGCTCTCACAGCTGTGCTGCCGCATTTGCTAGTGTGGGGTCCAGTGTGCTGTTAGCTTTAACTACCAATACAACACAACCTAGACTCACCGGAGAAGAGAGGTTTAATGAGGAATTATCAATATCAGATTGTCTGTGGGTATGACTGTGAGGGGCTCTGATATAGGAAGACCCAGCCCGATGTAAGAGGTGCCATGGGGTCCTGAACAGTACAAACACTGAGAAACCCAGCTGAACAGAAGAAAGTAGGTAAGGGTGAATTTATTCTTTCTTTTTTATGGCTGTGGATGTGGTGTGACTAGCTGCTTGAGTTCCTGCCACAGTTTCCCCTTAGAGATGACAGCAACCTGAAATTGTAAGGAAAACAAAACAAAAGCCCTTTCCTCCTGTATGCTGACTGTTGTCAGGGTGTATTTGTCACAGTGACAGAAATGAGGGGGGGGGAAGCCATCCATCTCATCAATAACCTGGTTTAGTCTCTTTTACAGAGCCAGAGCTCTCCATTGCTGAGGAGTTCTTCATTCTTCACCACATTCAAGGTGAGGTTTTGAAGGATCAGGAGCCAGACAGACACCTGGCAAACAGACAGGGATGGAGAGTGATCAGGACAGATACGGAACATGGCAAGCTTCTGGTTTTTTCCTTCCCTTCTTGTCTGGGCTTTCCTCTCACCATCAGGGCCCCCTTCCAGCTGACTGGTCCAAGGCTGGTTCTGAGCTGTGGGTCTTTCAGTCTTCTCTCTTTGTTCAAGCTGATCAACTCAAAATTGGGAGAAGGAGACCCATCCCAGGCTACTCAAAACACTTAAAATCCCAAAC